GTCCTTGAGTTGTCGCTATGTCTGTGAACACAAACTCCTACAGGTGCTCTACAGGTAAACTTCCCCCCCCAGCTTTTGTTCCGAAGGCCCTTGTGATCCTCCCCCCGGGAGCGGATGCGTGCCTGTGCTGCATCCCCTTCGGGCTGCGCTTCTGAAATATTCCCCATGGGAAAGGCTGAAGCAGCTCCTCGCTGATGGCCTTTCTTTTGAAAAGCAAGAGGAAACGCTTCAAGGAAAGTCAGTGGGGTCAAGGAAAAACAGCAGCAATAGCAGTCTGTTACAAATAAGCAAGAAGATAATGCAGAGAAAAAAATATATAACCAAAATTTCAGCAGCTTATGAGCTATCAGAGCAGCTATTTCCTATGAAATGGACATGGATCGGAAATACACTAGTGGATCTACCAATAGCGAATAAATGATGTAAACATTTAAATATATAACCAAAATTTCAGCAGCTTATGAGCTATCAGAGCAGCTATTTCCTATGAAATTTGGACATGGATTTGCTCCCTAAAATACCTAGATGTTCACTGCAAAATACACTATCAATTATGCACCATGGGGTAAGAAAAAAACTGTTTAGCAAAACCAGGGAAATATTTTAATATTTTGCAGGGCTTTGCGATTTAGAAACTCTTTGCCCTTGCAACTCATGGCAGTCAGTCTTTTCTGTCCTCTGGCATCTTTCCTCTGGTAACCCATAGCAAAAAAGGAAAAACCCCACCCCAAAGCCTTTGTAAAATAAAAAAACCCAGTCAGGACTTCCAGCTTCCTTTCTGCCCCCTTCAGCTCAACCAGCAGTTAAGCTGGCATAAAATCATGCTACAATAGCGTGAAGAAATATATTTGATGCTTCAATTTCAGCTAACATTTCAATTTCTCCTACTATTATTTTTCCTGGCTGGGTGAAAACAGACTTGGATTAATTATCTAGCCATCAAGGGTTTTGCCTGTTTTGTTTGCCTTTTTTTTTTTCTCAACTCTTCACCTTCTTTTCTCTTCTAACACAGTCTTCCTGAAATAAATACAAACCCAGCATCAGTCAGTTAGAGAGAAGCTATGAACTGTATCCTTGACACAAGTTCTAACCTGGTTAAGTTTGCCCAGCTGCGCCCAGGAGGCTCATGTCACAGGCTCTGTCCCCAATGAAGTCTGCAAAGCCGTTAGCCTGTCATTACAAGCACACCGAGTTCCTTACTGAGCAATCCAATTTTTGAAAATATTTAATGTTCTTTCATCAGCAGCCTTATTTTACCACCCAGGAAGAGTCATGCCATCCTGATGCTTAGGGCACATATGAGGTATGCAGCTCTAAACCTTTCATGTTCCTAAGGATTGCACGTTTTAGCTGTTTAATCACAAGATTTTTTTTGTTAATGTTATCCAAAGTAACTAATCATCCTAGTTTCTTATCTGAAATATATGTCAAAAGCTGAATTAAAATGACAAGGAGAAGATAAAGACAAATTAAATTAATACGGAAAGGGCTCTCTCCTACAGAATCTGGTTCGAGGTCAGAATCTCAAGGGCTCCAGTGGTGAACATCCTTTCACACTGTCCCAGCAGATGTGGCTTTGCCCTTCAGCAAGCATATGGCAAGGCTCTACCTGGATCATCAGAGCGTTGTGGGAAAACCCGGCTACCAGCAGAGCTCTGGAGCACAGAGCTGTGTCTGTCAGCACCTGGGGTTACTGGTACAATGCTGCTCTATGCCTCACTGACCACAGTTACACTCAAAACAAGATGCTTTTCATCATTTATACCTCAGGGATTGACTCCTGCCTATTGGTATCTTTTTGCTCAGTCACTGTGCTTTTTGCAGGTGCTGTTGGACGATCTGTGAACAAGAATGGTCAGGCAGGAGGGCAAGGTGCCACTTTCATACCGACGAGAAGATTTACCCGTAGCTACACCCCATTCCGTGTGAACAAGGCCATATCTGCACTACCCTGAAACCTTTACTATCAAGGATTAACTTCAGCTTTGTGCTTCTTTCAGGACAGAGGCTATTGGCTATGATCTGACTTGAGACATCACGATAATTGAGTTCACTCACACTACAGAAGTATTAGCCCATCATGAGAACTGGTCTGAATTGCATCACTTCAAAGCCAGCCAGCCGAGTTTGCAGTTGCTTCTGTGGTCTCAAATGCATCTCAAATGCAGTATTTGAGTACAAGATCATCTCACCTATTACGCATACGTTGGCTAACATTCAAGCTATTGAGTAGTAACAGCAACTTGTTCTCATAGGTCCTCTTATATGATCTTCTGAATTACTCACTGTCATCCAAAAAGTGATAAAACTACATTTATGAGTAATACATAAAATTCAAACGAGACCTTTATTTACATTAGGTTTTCAAGCGCTGGGTGTTGCAACATACATAACAAAATTTCATACTACATCTTTATAGGAAATCAGGTTGAAAAGCTGATCTACAGAATCAATTTGTCAAAACTGGCTAAGCAGAAAATGCGTCAGCTCGGTTTTAGAGTACTCTGTCAATTTTACACTGTCTGCTATCGTTCAGAGTATTCCTGATGTCATGGTTATAAAACCAGAGCGCTCATGCAGGTTAATTTACAGTGAACTCTCCCTAGTAAATTTTACATTCTTCACTTGTTCAGAAGAGCAGGTCAATACTCTCCACGTTGTCTCACAAAGCAATTACGGATCCAAATAGGCAGAAAACTAGATCCATCAGGAAATTTCTAACGAAAGAAAACTGGATTTAGCAAGACAAGGAGTCAGAACTTTAATTCCATGACAAACTGCATTATCATCTCTCATTCTGTAGAAAACAAGTTGTACTGTAAAGATTAATCAAGTCCTTTTATTCCATATTAACATTATGCAGCAACCAATATGAGTGTCTAGGTAAACAGAAACTTCATGAAATGTTTTGCTGCAAAGCTGACTTCAGTAATGCACGCAAATGATAAAGTCATCAACTCTGCTCACTGCCAGAAAAAAAAAATGGCTTCAGGAGCAAATAACACTGATTCATGTGCTCAAGCACTAGTCAGCAAAACCTATTAAACTACACAGGGGTGAAAAACAAACAAACAAAAAAAATCAAAGCAGCTTTGTTATCTTACTTGTGACACCTTATTTAAATCTCAGGCATTACCTCTTTATATCAGCATAAATATGTAGCCTTCTACACCTTTTATGATGTGGTTACAGACACAAAAATGTTATAGTAGAAAGCAAGAGCTAGTTCAAGGAATTTCAGACTTTGAAATCAGCAAGATACAAAGCTAAAATTCGTATGTTCCTTTTCAAGTTATGAATACTTTCACTAAAACATAAATATTTTAACATATATTAATTTTTTCTGACATTCAAAATTGTAAAGTCAATATGGCAGAATTATTGTTAAAAGCACATATTTACAAATATTCTTTTTTCCATACATAAAGTATTTGGCATAATTATAACAATCTTACTGCATACACAACTGTTTGCTTCTTTTTCACATAATGGTACACTCCTTATTAAAATTTACCAATTATGTACAAAAATACTTGAACATTTATTATAGAAAACCTCTATAACTACCGTCAACAGCTTGTAACTGCTGAAGGTTTAATTGAGAGAATATAAAAAGTGGTCACTTTATTCCAGTTAAACTATCAACAAATCAAACACACAGCTAAAATTAACATGAGCTTCCCAACAAAAGAGGGAGAATATTTTTAACAGCATGATTTAAAATGCAGTTCACACATCTGTTCCCAAGCACATGTTAAACAGTCAGTAAAAGAAAGAGGATACAAAAAATACATACAGAAGGTGCGCTTTTTTTTTTCCTCCATCCACATTCCTACGGCTTGGCATTAGCTTTCCAGAGCTCTTCAGATGCCAGTCACTAAAATACAACCTAAGGCCAAACACCATTCTCCTACAATAAAGATGATGGTGATGAACTCAAGCTAAAAAGCAAACCCAAAACCTGACTCCACTGGTACGTACACATCCAAAGAGCTGTTCAGAATTTTTGCTAGGTGTATACAGAATTATTAATGACCTTTGCAATTAGCTTTTGAAATGTATTGATCGATAGCCAGTAATTTGTATTTTTAAAAATTTGTTCATTTAGTATACTGCCTTGGTACTAGTCAGTACTGATTCTTGTACACAAGTTAAATGAACAAGTCATTTGTACCTATTTTCATACACAGATTGTATTTTAGGGTGAACTTTCAAAAACAGCAGAGAACCTCCACTAGGAAACTGCTAGCTTTTTAAAAAACAAAACAACAAAAAAAAGCATTAACTGGAAGAATAAAAGTAAATTGCACCTCAAAAAGAAAAGGACGCGTCAGGTACAGTAATACACTAATGGCACAAAACCTTATCGAGATTCACCAGAACGGTGCTGTACGCTGAATGAAATGCAGGTATCTTTCCATCTTAAAAATAACATAAATCGTGTGTTTCAAAAATTCCAAACCACATTCTTACAACAGTTCTCTGCAGTATAACTTGCATTATCTCTCTGTTTTTCCACAGACATTTGAAATGACCAACCTGTTCATCAGATAAGAGAAACAACTTTTAGCCTACTTGCAGAAACGTCCTAGTCTACACACTACTCTGTTAGAAAGCGTGCATTTATCTCTAGTAGTAAAGATCCAGTCAATATATTCTGTATTTTGTAAGAAGCATTCGGCTAACTCAGATGAGAGTTATAGGGTTTTAGATTCAATTTTTTAAATAAAAATAAAGTACAAATAAAAGCATTTATCAGTAATCACCACCACAAAATTAAAAAAACTCCTCTCATTCATGCTTCCTATAATGTCTGGCAACCTAAATTAGTAATTTCATTTCAAATGTGCAACTTAATAGTAATAAGCATTTCAAAATTACTCAAAATAAAAGGTGGGCGAAATATTAAAGTGCCTAACTAAACGCATTTTACCATTTTTAAAAAATATTATTTCTTAAACGGTAAAGAATTGGTTGCAATTAAATATAAAAGTGGCTTCTCATAGCTGAGAGACTTTGCGGGGCAGAGGCCTGGGCCGGGGAACCTGCTCAGTCCTCCTGCTGCTGTTTTCCAGATTGTTTGGCCGGACCAGCTGTGGCTTGGGCGGCAGCGCCGGCGGGTCCGCGGCGGGCGGGATGGAGAGGCTGTGAGGTAGAGGAACGGGGCGTTTCAAAGTCCGCTCGTACACGCTGTAAGGCGGCGGGGTTTTACTTTCTTTTCTCACAGGCTCCTCAGAAACGCTGTAGCTTGGGACAGTCACTGTTGGTTCGCTGCCTTGGCTTTCAAAGCCCGACGTCTCTGACGTGCTACATCGGCTGAGCGAAGAGATGCCGCTGCTGTAACTCCCCGACAGCACCGGGGAGTTGGATATGAGCCCCGAGGAATGATACTCCACTGGAGACGGTGTGAATGATTGCACAGACCCCTGCTCGAAAGAAAGGGCAGAAGAAGAATATACCTGGAGTAAACGAGGGAGAGCGCTTCTGTGCTCAGACTGAAAACACACAGAGATTCAGGGCATAGATTCTGAGGCTTGATAAACGTAAACGGTTGCATCCCTGTTTAATTAAGATCCAGTAAGAAACCAATAAAAAACTCGAGTGCCTAGGTACACCTTAAACAGTGCTCATGCCAGTAATTCATGAAAGTGGAAGTAAAACTATTTAAATGTTATCTTACTATCATAATACCCTGGAAAAATCTGGAAGCCTTTAAAATGAACCCTCAGTTTTTCAGGCTTTAAGTGAAATGCATAACCCTGCGCAGGGCATACCTAGTGGTGTCCTGCCCCCTAATGCCAAAGCACAGGACTTGCATCCCAGTCACTGCTGCTACTTCAGTCTCTCATGTTCCAAATTCATTTTCCAAAGCTTTTCCTCACAGTTTTAGTGTACTGTCATGCAATGAAAAGTGCATTTACATCGTGGCATCATTTCCGAGTGTGTCATAATACCAACGTCGGAGGTGAAGCGCAGAGCGGATGCCAAGCTAATAGCCGCTGCTGGGCGCCAGCCCCATTTGGCCCGCAGCTCGTCTTGCTACTCAGGGGCAGCAGCAGGAAGGCTGGAGGTGAGGCATCGCTGCTGCTGCTGCAGACAGCGTTTTGAACCGCAGTTGCTCCACCCTTCCTCTCCCCCATCTCCCAGGCATTCCTTGGACACATCGTGCCGCTTGCACGAAACACAAAACACCACTGTGGGCCCCAGGGACAAGGGTCCAACAGAAGGCGAAGGTTGTAAATGGCTGCACCAGCAGCCTCGCGGGTCTGTGGGGGAAGGTAAAGGATGGGGAGCTGAGGACCCAAGCGGCAACAACAGTGCTGACGAAGAATAAGAGGCAGGGACTGTAAAGCCCTACCTAAAAACATTGAGCAGTCCTATACTAGTGAAGCAACTTCAACTGAAAACTGTGAAAGGTTAGACCATACTTTGCAAGTTGAAAAGTTTTTGCAACATATCTGATTTTGACTGGAGCCATCTGAGACAATCTAGACTTAATGGCCTCAAGCACAGGCTAAAAAAGGGATGGAGAAATTACATCAAAGACAAATTTCCCACCCCAATTCTTGTTAGGCTGGTTGTCACTCAGCTGCTCAGCTTGAGATGAGAGTGTGAGCCATGCAACAAAGGGTGGGGAGGGGAGGAAAAGGAGAGGGGCATGGGTGTATAGAGCTGGCTGCACTGACTTTATGCTGTTGAGATAATCTTAGTTATCCTTCTAGGACTGGATCCACAGTGCACTGAAAGCAATGGAAAAAAATCTTCATTTACATCCGTGGGTTTTGTACTAAGATGGCCTTCTCTGGCAGCATGTAACAGTTGGAACAAAGGCTAAAATTTGAGCCCTGTATGTGGCTAGAGAGAAGCAGAGCAAGTGTTGAAGACATTTCAGACATTGTGAGGAGCCTGTTTAACTACTTATTTCAGGTTCCATTCCTCTGCATGTGAGGAGGCTGCAGCTGCACTCCTACCCCCACAAACGTCCAGGGTCGAGGTTTTCAAATAAATGATGTAATTGGTTCAAGTTCCAAGAACACCAGACACTTGGATCAAGTGACCGTAGATAAGATTTAGGACCTTTGCTTTTGTCATTCAGAACAAGAGCAAGTATGCGTAAACCCTGCCTGCTTCAATTTAGGAGCTGAGCAGGGGTAAGCACCTGGTTCCTGACAGCAGTGCAGACTGCTTGTAGCAGTAGTAACAGTCTAGACACCAAAACAGTCTGGAAATCCATGGATGCTCGAAGTGAGATCCAGCAACTCTCAGAAGTATTCTGGGCCAGCATTCCTCTCCCAAGCAGCAATCCAGGCTTTGGTTGTAAAATGCTTAAGTTCTGTGCAGGCATTTAGAAGAAAATGTTAGGATGAGCTTGAAACACCCCTAAGAATCATCAGTACCAAGTCCATTCAGGAAAAAAGGAAGAGTTGCTCACCTTTTGTACAAGGTCCTAATGCTCTGAAGAGCTTCCTAGTAAGCAGCTAGTGCGAAACCTGGGATCGGTGCTCACTTCAGCAGAAGGCATGCTATGGTAATAGGACTACGGGGCACTCTGATGGCCAGCACAATTGCTCTGTGTTGAACCTGGACCACTGTGCAGTCACAAGTGGAAATGTTACAGGCTCATGGGATGACAAATGGGAGAATGACCGTGGACTTGTGATTAGGGACCTCAAGGGAAAGGGAGGCATTTTGGGGTGCCGCTTTCCTCCTCCTCAGGAGATGCGTACCTCTGAAGCATTAGTTAGGCATTGGGTAGCTGAGGGACTACTTCGGCAGGGCTGCCTCCCTCCGCCCTTGCACCTGAGCACCTGAAGCACCAGTCATGCTCCTTTCTATTTGCTCTCCTTCCAGTTTGTTGACCCTCATATTTCTAACTGCAGAATTCTCTTTGCTTCAGTGGGGTGGCAGAGGCTATCCCTGAGACTAATGTTGTGCAGTCTGTCAATACCAGGGTTTGCCTGGAATATGTAGGCTGCGTGTTCATGTGCTCCAGTGCTGTGGAAGACAGATTTCCCGGTCAAGTTTTCCACCCAATAAGCTGTTGTGCAACAAGTGGATACTGACATACTCAAATATCTTGAAATAGAAATGAAACCTGCTCAGTTTAGCCTGGATCCCCAATTGCTGTGGGTGTTTAACTGCCAGAGAAGAACCAATGCTTATTTACAGCCTGTGCTTAATGTTTCCTACTGGCAGGCTTCAAACTACTTCCAACTTCTTACACAACCTCCCTGGATCGTTCTGCAGAGGAAACGGATATTAAAATGACAGAAGCAGGGATTACTCTCTAACACTCCCTGTAATCCAACAGCTCTGGATGCTGGAGGAGTAAGAGGAATGGACCGTCAGGCACGTCTTACATTTATTTCTTACACTCCCTTCTGCCCACTGACTCAGGTGAGCTTGATTATCCATGTAGGTGAGAAGCCTAATATTGAGAGGCTGAAGGTTAGGTTTCTTGCCTCCAGTTTTGAAAATCTTCAGAGCTGCTGTAATTGTTATGGCTACTTACTCTTGTGAATGGTTTTTGTATAGGCATATGATAATAAAAGGAAAACATAATATAATCCCAAATAACGTATATCAAATATATACTATCTACCCCACAACACATACAACCTGTCCCACAAAGGCGATTCACTGCAATAAGACAGTACCTTCATTGGTGATCTGCCAGCAGGAGAAGGGGAAACGGAGGCTATGTGTCTTGCTGGTGATGCTGTAAAGTCAGAAAGATTTCAGTGCACTCGTGGCATTACAGTTTTCACTAAGAAATCTTTTTAAGTGGATAGGAGATCATTCTATACACAAGCGTTATCTCTCGTTCCCTCTAGGTACCTGCCTGATGACTCCAAATAATTTCAGAGAGTTTATTTTACTTTGTTCTCAGGATTATCTTGCAGTACAACCAATGAATTATAAGAAATTTCTGCATGCATCTTCTCTGACAAATCTGTATCACTATAAATTGGTTTATATCCTACCAAATGATAACAGGATTCAAAAAAAGTCAGTATAACAACTTTTCCCCTCCTCTTTTTCTTCTTCTCTTAAGAAATATATTATGTATTTGTATGTCAAATAAGATAAAAGACAATACATAATATACTTATATCAAACATTTACCTGTAAATATACTGCAAACATGCCTGGACATACTTAGAGGCATAAGTCTAACACACAAAAAGTGTCTTCACTCCCTCAAGAAGAGTTATATTTATAGTATCACTCAAGCAGCCTTTCCTTTAAATGGAAATTAATCTTTTGAAAGGCAAATTGATTATAGTAATAGAACTCATGTACTTCCATGATTGCTGTGCTTTTTCTGGCCAGTAAGATTCTTTGTGGTTAATGATAATTTCTGATTGCTAACCTCCAATTATCATAAGATCAAAAGATTAAATTTGATCATCCTCCCTAGTACCAGCATGAACTGTCTGAAACTACTCAGTCATTAAGTGAAGGGGCACAGTATTGGAAACAGAATGCTAGAGAGAACATTAACAAGATGAAAATACCTGTGGAGGCAGTTCTACAGACTTCCATGTAAGTAATCAAATAATAAATTAACCTGCCCAAGAAGTTAAACATCAATCAGAGTGGAAAGAATCTAAGCCCTCAAGTAAATAAATTTTTTACTGGAGCTTAGCCCGAAATGTCCATTAACTCACCAGTCTGTGCAGGTCTTGGTGGTACAGGAGGAGATATAAGCTTTCCACTTTCTGATGTGTTTCTGGCTTCCTTCCCACTGTCCAGGCTCCAGCTGCTGGGGGTGGTGTTTACAGCTGGAAGAGAATGAAAAAGCAGATATAGGCGTCAACACTTCTAGCTCTCTGACTTGCCTTCACCCATGAGGGTAAAAACACACAGAGTGAAAACGTTAAACAACTTAGCGAGCACGTCAGAAAAGCTCTCATGTTTACATCAGCATTTGAAAAGCTCTTAAATAATGGCTGTCAATCTTCTGGTTGCCTGATGTATGCATCTGGCCCTCAGGTCAGTTTGTGATTGTATAGCAGTTGGAACCATCAACAACAGTAGCGCTGAGATAGCACTCTGGTGCACTGCAAATCCAGCCACAAAGGGAGATAAGCTTGAAGCCTGTTAATATAATCAGTTTATTTTTGCACCAGACTCCTATTTCAAGGTTTCTAGGCAGAAGGGAACAGACTATTCATAAACCCTTTCCATTAACTCATTTTATATACAGAAGGGACTAGAGAAAGGAACTTGCCAAATTCTGATCAACCTCCCTCAGAAAGCTTTTAGTGCTAACAGTCTTTTGTTGCCTGCATAAGGTACAAATTCAGAATTGAAAGAAGGTGGAAAGAAGGGCACAAAACGGTGGGAGTAAAAATTGAAAGAAATTAAGATGTCTGGAAAAAAAAAAAATCAAATGAAAAAATTATTGTGGACTAAGAAAATTTATATACACTGTTTGTAGCAGCCATGGTCAAGGATCTCTGCTTGATCATGTAAACTGACTATCACCTTGACATGTATAAAATTGGCTGTTGTATTTGTCTGTGTGACTTTTACCAAATTCTATGACTTTATAATTGGATGATCCCATAAAGCCTGGAACAGCTTCCTTAATAGAACTGGATTATCTCATGTTATCAAGGAGCCACCAATATTGCAAAGAAGTCAGATAGACAGAAGGACAAGGCATTTAACATGGACAGGACAAAAGCAAACTTAAACCCCACGATTTTTCTTACATGTCTTGTAAAAAAGTGGAAAAAACCTGCTTCAAACCTCCCCCCTTTCCCCCCAACACGCTCCCCAAAAAAACCACCTCGCCTTCAAAGCCTCAAACCTCTTGCCTTGCCATGACAGTTTCCTTCTTGTCTGCTTATTTCATAGTTGTGAGTAGAGAACCACATGCAAGGACTCTGTGCTCATTTACAAAGATGAAGCGAAAAGCAAAGTATTGTTGCTAACTGATGGTATCAATTATTGCTATTATAGCAACACCAAGGGCTCTCAGGAGGACTGGAATCCCACTATACCAGTATATACCAGACTTAACACAAAAAGTACAGTACAAATAATATTTGTTTCATATGTGTAACACTATTGTTACAGTATAATTGCACATTAGTTGACCCTGAGAACAGTGCACAGAATAGTCTATTTTCTAGAGTATCATTTTGCTTTTTTATTGCCAAAATATGCAATGCATTGTTTGCTTTTTATTGTAGGCCGTCACCTAGCAGTATGGTTTTGCCCACATCCTAGAAGTGACTTGGCACCAGACCTGGGTACTTCAAATGCCTCAATCTCTTGACAACCCATTTTTTCTTTTAAGTCATCCAAGGAGTCAGTTCTTTGGACTGCTACAGTCTCCAGGAGAGAATATTTTATTTTAACAATTCTGTAACGTACTTGGCTGCATAGGCCAATGGAAAAGTTTGCCATTTCCATGTTAAATTATTTCATATGTTTTTCAGCCCTGTGAAAAAATCCGCACTTGAGCTTTCATAAAAACCTGGACACAAAAATACTTATGAAAATCAGCTCTTATTGATGAAAATCTGATTCCCGGTCAGTTCTTGTTACAGTATATTCTTAAAATATATATTTTCAAAATACCTGTTTTACTGTATCCTTTATTGAGGGTACCACAAAGGGCAGTGCATAATGAAATGATGAAGCATATTATGGATGTGGAGCACATAATGAAATCTTGGCATAATAACTGTGCCAATAATATTGAATTTCCCCATGCACAAGATTATAAAAGGCAATATTTTGTCTATGGAAATTCACAGGTTTCTCATTTACTCTAAACAAACAAACAAAAAACCAACAAACCATGAATTGATCTTTTCTCTTCCATCAAAGTGTAACCAAAAGCACAGTGACTTATAAAGAGGACTTCCAGGTACCAAACTTCAGGACTCTATCCATCTCTTCAGCTTCTCTCTGCCCTAGTCTCCAGAAGTTCATCTCCAGGGTTCATCACCCTTTATGTCTCTCTTGAGACAGCCAAGCAGAAAGGACAGCTCTCACAGGCAGCCTGCTGCAACCTGCTGCTCCATCACCCCTTCCTGCAAACTACTGGGCCCTTCCGAGTACAACACTCAGTTCAAACAAACACCATGTTCCCCCCTTTTTGGCAAAGTGTTTTGAAACTTAGAGTGTTAGCATAGTTTAGTTAGTTAGAATGTTTTGAAACTTGGAGATGACCATACACGCTCAAAAGAATCAGCATTCTACAGGAATATGACCTCAAAAGAATCAGCATTCTACAGGAATATTATTATTATGATTATTTATGTAAGATTAATTATGTTTTCATTTCTTCCAAGATTGGTATGGTGCAGCATTTCCACTCACCTTTGTCGGGGCCGGGCAGATTGGAATCACTTCGTGGCAAAGCACCGTCTCCAATATGATTAAACAGCATTCTCTGTAAATTGAGAACAGCATGGTTTATGCATAGCTGCTGTTGTATTTCAGTAGCCTTTAAGAAAACAAGTATCTTTCTGTTGTTATCCCCACCACACAGGTCTACTTTGGAGGTGGAGTGATAAACATCACCTAAGAACATAAATAGTGTAATGAAAATATGTGTATACAAATTGGAAGTAGATTAGTTTTCTGAAAACTGTACACATTGGAATCAGAGGGAGGATTATTTTGTACTGAGTTCTGACAGTTTCCAGCTCCCTAAAAAACAAAACAAGGCTCATTCCTGAAGGTGGTATCTTGATAGATTACTAAACAAGTGTAGGGATAGATTTGCAATAATTTCATGGCAGAATCAGGATCTGAACAAGGTGTAATATTTGACAATGTTCAAGTTATGGCTGTTATCTTAGAAGAGCATTGTGTATTACTTCCAACCCTGACTTTTTTGGTAGCAGCGTTCTTCGTTTGTGGATAAGAGCTGACCCATAAAGTGTGTTTGTCTTTTTTTTTCTGAACATTCTTTTTTTTTTTAAAAAATCCACAGTAAATTTATGAAAGAATTTTAAAATTCCACTAGTTATTTCTTTTGGCAGCATTCAAATAATCACTAGTTTATCTTGATAACAGATGTAAACAGCATACAGTTAATCCTACAAGTAATTTAGATGTATTTTCCAAAGGAAATGAGAACAGATAAACTTTACTTTTTTTTCCTTTTTTTTTTTTTAAAGCAAGATCAGACAATCGGTGAAATCCAAATCAACTCCCATTGTTGTATGTCCTTCCAGTGTTCACAGAGGACCATGCTGAGTCAGCGAGGTACTATGCTGTGGTTCCACAAGATGGCAAACCCAGCTGCAAAGTAATCATCATTGATCTAATATATTGCAGCTCCATGTTACAAAGTGAGGAACAAATTCTTGGCCAATTCAACTCGACTTAAAACATCCCATAGAGAGAATGCTTTGATAGACTTTGAGCTACACTAGGTTTGCCTGTCTATGCTGTACTAGAGTCATACTCTATCAGGTAATACCTGTTTTCCTGGAGATACCATTAAACTGAGGTGGTGTAACTACATGTGTACTCTAATGTGACAGAAAATGTGATCATATGTTCCTGCCTGGTCTGGATTGAATGTTCACTGCCTAGTGAGTCTGCAGTGCACTAGCATCTGGTGGGCAAGTGTTGAAGTCTGTTTTCTGTTGTGAAGGTAAAGAGCAAAGGCCAAAAAAGCAACTGAAATTGGAGAGATAAAAAGACAAAAGCTGAATGAAATACAGAGAAACGAGGACATACTAAAATAATTAAATATAAAATCATATGGAAGAACAAGAGCAATCACAGGATGTTTAACAAAATGCAAAAAAATCCAAAAATGTGAAATGCAAAAAGCTCCATTATAAAGAATAATAGCGCAAAAACTAAGGAGGCTTGTTGACCAGTCAATGACAGCAGGCATTCCTCTTCAGAGTACGGGAAGAGCTGCAGAGACACTGTACAATTGCTCAGCCAGAAATCAAAAAGCAAGCACAAATGTTGACTGACAACAGCTGTACATAGATAACCTTGAGCATCAATTTCAATGAGGGAAGCGGATGCAGTACTGCTGTGGTCTTGTTCTATGAAGTCCATCAAACTTCCTTAAATGAGGTAGCTGTGGCCTGAAAGGACTTGAAGTGCAGGAATTTGCCTGTGTATCTCATCTTTCCCGGTTGAAAAACTATTGTGAAAATTGCATTCATTAAGCCGTAAAAAAGACGTTCATAAATGGGTGGTTCTTTCCTCATTAACTTAGTGTGAAGCTCCAACCAAGACTTTTGAAGTTAACTGGTGTTAGAATAAAAATAGAAAGGACAAGGAACAGTTTGAGCATCTAAATTCTAATGAGAGTTGCAGGTATCTCCAAGATATCTCACTACAATTGTCCTGAGGATTTCTTTTCCCCTTCTTAATCAGAAGGTAAAGAATCAGAATTTTGTTTCTGATCACAGTCCATTTTTACTGCCCAGGGAATACAGCACCAGAGAAAGAAATTGCACTTTCCCCAGAAAGATATATCCTCATTTATGGTTAGGAGGGCAGAAAGAAACTGTCAGACCTTCTCACCTTTGAAACATACTTCACTGTTTGAGCAAGTTAATTTTCTACTTACCCTCTCTTGGGACACTGAGGGTAGAGACAGATTGGGAGATTTTCCTGCTGGGCGAGGCTCAGAGAGAGTGGAGACTGGGCCTACGAGCTCCTCAGCCTCCCTTATCGAATCTCGGGTAGAGTGGGGGACAGAAGTCGCATTCCACTTGGCAAAGCAAGAGTTTGCAGTCTGGGAGCAAAAATGGGATAATTTTTTCTTTGCGGCAAACTGTAAAACCGCTTTATTTAAAGAACATCTCCTGGTCTTTCCTGTATGTTGGTTTGGCTCTACTACCACTGAGAAATTGTCCAGTAGATATATCAGTAAGTAGTGCCCGAGAACTGCCCTCAGTCTGGCTAAGCTTCAGTATTACTTCTTAAGCCCTCAGGTAACAGCATGAGGACTCAAACAGAAAAGAGGAAAAAATTAAATCAAGAGCCAATTCAATAACTGAAGAAGAAAGGGACAAGAATACAACTAATGAGAAAGCAACAAATCATTTCTAAAATAAAGGATCGTGGACTACCAAGTTGTTTTTTATCAGAGGCAAAATTTCTGGTGGAAATGAGAGTGTTGAGAGGAGGGCCTTTCACACTGTACTTATGTTCTCATTTTTCTCAGCTTCAGCAAGAGGTGCACTGTGTGATGGCACGGATTAAAGCAGCAACCATGTTAAAGGAAAGCACTTTAGGTAAGTAGGTCCATTAAGAAGAAAAGATGAAATAAGGATTCAAAATTGGCCAGCTCACCAAGCTCATTTTGCATTTCAGATAACTCAAAAGATACAAATTTCATACAGACCTATGTAACAGTAATTTTAAGATAAGAACTCAACTCATTCTTTTCTCTGGAGTAACAAAATGTCTATCTTTCTTTTCCGAAACTACATTGAAAAATAGAATTGCCACATGGAGTGGGTTATTATCTCACAGTGGCTAGGATTAGCTATTTCAGAAGAAATAAAGGGGAGGTCAACATGGACGACTGCCGTGATAACAGTTTTTCTTTCTTTCTTCTTCCCTAGATTGTACAAACGCTGCTGTTTCACACAAGCAAGCTGTGTCATCTGGCAAGTCTTTGCATCTCTCTCTCACTGCAGTGAGTAAATATCAAAACCAGATCTAAACCTAGACAAAGCAAGCAGAAACGTGATCTCTTTCATGTAAAATATTTTAGAGTATTTGCTTATAAAAACAAAAAAAAACCCCTTGAAAATTAACAGCAATGAGCAGACACTGAATCTGCTCGAAGTTCAACAGGCGCCTTTATCATCTTAGCTACTTGTGTTCAGAGGCCTCCCAACAAGTTTCCTACCTGCGAGGTTTCCGAAGGAGTAGGGTAGACGGCACTGCAGGGCCTCTCTCTGGGGGACAGGCAAGAGTTTTCTCGGGAATGCTTATGTTTGTCGGACAACAGAGGAGAGGCTAGAATATAAATGTGTCAAGTGATTAAATTCATGCAGTGAAACACAGACATTTCAATTCTACGCTTATGACAAAGAAATCCTCAATAATTCATATTCCTCAAACAATTGGCTAAATTTGATGTCTGACCAGTGATATCATGCAGAAATTCAGCTGTGTAATGTAGCAAGAATCATTTAATTTGGTTTACCACGGGCGACGAGCACTGACCTCTGGCACTGGATGGAGCAGAACTGGTCACATTAGGTGAAGCAGAATGAGTAGAACTCAGGCTTGAGGTAGACGGACTAGGCTGCGTACAGAAGAGATGCTGGTGTTACCACAACACACTTACTGGTTTGGAAAACAAAAATTTATAACATACTTTTCGCTAAAACAAATTTGTTAGACTAGTTTCTCAGTATTTCAAAATAGCAAACCAGTATAAAGAGCATTAATGTAACTACACAAAGATGTAGTAAAATATCAAATAAATAGAAATGGAATTAATATATTAAAATAATTACGTCACAACTGGACAACAAAGTCTATGTAAGGTCAGATGACTTTGCATCATAGTGCATTGCTGCTTATTACTTTTGTAAAAAATTCAGGCTCCAAGTTAAAGAAGAAGAAACAGTTACATAAAATTTGTTCTACGTTAACAGCCCATTTAAAGACTTGTTTTTTTAAAAGAAGTATCAACAATAACTTTGAGATTTCTGAATGAAATAATAGAAGCATTAATTTAGTAAATAGCCTTGTAAGAAAGATTCTGTTTAGTTTGAAGAATGACAATAATTTGTACCTGCATGTTAAAAACTTCATCGGAGCTTTCTGATTGCCCAGTGATATTGCTGACTTCAGCAGAAGCTTGGGATGACAGTGATGAGGATGAATACCGATTGACAGCTGGGTAACTCAAGGGACTATTATAAGAATAACGCAATATAAAATGGTTAACTCTAGATGCCAGTCATAATTTTTCATGTGAAAACAGCACGTTTATTAATCTCCACAGTTTAATTTGGATTTATTAGTTGAAAAAGAGAGAGAATATATATATCAGCTATTCATGACTGAAGATACTTCAGGTGGACCATATGAGGAAGCGTGCACACAACAAAAGTATTTTATGGGTCATCTTCCTTGAGTAACAAAATCTATCAATTTCTAGTAATTTAACTTGCCTGCGTCGTGGTATTACCCTGGCACCATCAGGGCTCATTGAAACAGGTATGGAATTCCGGCATACACGAGGACTTCCATTTGGGAAATGAACAGGACTAGCTTGTACACAGGCAGAAAATTCCTGGCGAGTTGTTAAAAGAAGATTAATTAAAATGAACATAATATCATTAAGCATTTTGTAAGATACAGATAGTCATTTGAATAGTTATATCTGCATTTTGGATCAGCTTCATCGTTACTAAGAAAAATATTTTAACTTTTCGCTCATACTTTCCCTTTAGTAAAATGTGACTATTTTTCTCTGCACTGTATGGAAAGTTTATTAACTTTCTCTTCGGTTTGTGGTACTGTAAGAATGCTACAAGTTGTAATGTGGACAAACAACCAAAAGATGTCACTATTTGTTGCTTAGGAAAATGAAACAACCCTTACTGCAGCTAAACAGTCTCCGGGTTTATCCATGCACCTGCTCATGTACCTGTATTCCCAAGCTTGACTTCATCACAAAGAACTGATCCACCAGCTTTTTGTGCAATGGTCTCATATCCTGCGGCACCACCTTCTCGTGCACTGCCAAGCCAAATTCTAGAATCTGGGCCTGCAGAAGAGACAGGAAGAAAGAGGGGAAAAATATATTTTCGATCTATTTTCTTTAAGCTTTCATCATCAATTAGGATACTAATCAAGAAAATCCAACAAAATGCACGTTGTATCTTTGCCTCAGTCTTTAATAGTAAGACCAGTTGTTCTTTGGGTACCCAGACCCCTGAGCTGGAAGACATGGATGGGGAGCAGAATGAAGCCCCCATATTCCAAGGGGAAATGGTTAGCAACCTGCTACACCACTTAGACACACACAGGTCTATGGGGCCAGATGGGATCCACCTAAGGGTACTGAGGGAGCTGGCGGAAGTGCTCACCAGGCCACCTTCAATCATTTGTCAGCAGTTCTGGCTAACTGGGGAGGTCCCAGTTGACTGGAACTTAGCAAATGTGATGCCCATCTAACAAGAAGGGCCAGAAGGAGGATCTGGGGAACTACAGGCCTGTCAGCCTGACCT